AATTGTTCTCAAGAATCCACTCGTGAAAATGCTGAATGATGAAGAGGAGGATGAAAAAAAAAACAAAACACGGACACATCCACAGGGGTGGTGGCTGAGAGGGGCTGAAAAATGAATGAACACCCCCCCTCCCCCCCTTCCTTCTCTGCCTATGCCATCCAGCAAGCACAGCCTAGAAGATCCGGGAGTGATTGCAGTACCAGCGGAGGTACCGGCTGGATTTAGTACTAAATTTCCCCTCAGCTCCTGTCGGACTGATCCCTGCTGGGTTTGCAACTCAGAGAAAATACCAGACTTGTGCCACGCAGGAGAATGGATCTTCAGCTACAGGACCTCGGCTTGGGTGGGAGGGAGCGAGAGAGCGTGGCCACGCAGTTGTCTTTTACGCGTGATTCCTCTGTTTTGCTCGTATTCCCCTCACCAACGTGGAGGAAAGTAAGAATAGAAATGATCCGATTGCGCGTAAAATCCAGGATGAAATGGTTCCGCTTCGTTCGTCCTCAGTTAGCGCAGACTGCTGCTGCTGCTGCTGGTCTCAACCCCTCCGTGGGATCGCTGCTCCAAACAAGAGTCAGCATCTCCCACACTGAAAAACACATAGCTCCACGGATAACACGGCAAGGAGCGGGCGGCAAAAAGCGGAGTGGATTTTAGTCCAGGTCTCAGAGAGCGCAACACGCCAAAACGGAATATATACAGGTGTATAAAAAAAAAATAATAATAATAATAAAGCATCACTTTTGGTCCCTCGTATTGGAAAATGAAACATATATATTTACATTAATTACACACATAGTGTATTATGTGAAGCTGTTGGTTTAGTGTCTTAGTAGATATGTATATCTATCTATATATATATAGCTGTATACAGAATATATATAATATATACATGTATAATATATATATAATATATATGGAAGTTGACTGAGTTTTTATTTTTAAATGCTTTTAAGTTGAAAGTCAAAGAATTTGAGGCAGCCTCAATGATCTGTAATTGTTTTACTTGACATGTTTTTTATGAAGGCTACCTGTCATTTAATTTAATGTATCTCTATTTATTATTTAACTTTGCTGCTCTTGGCCAGGACTCCCTTAAAAAGGGGTTTAATCTCAATGGGATTTATATAAATGTATATATGATTCCTGGGTTTATAGAACCCTATTTATATATTTAGTATTTCAATTTGATATTTTTTCAAAAATAATTTGGGGCTGAAGCACGGTATAAATCTAATTTTATCACAGGCCCCAATTTGTTAACTGCATACATTCAGTTTACAATATTAACATTTGTTAAATTAAATGTATCTTAGTGTTGCTTTAAAAACGAGAACTTGATTTCCTTTCTGAGGTTGTTATTCCTCCATTAGTTGTGTCCTTGATGCTATGTGAGAAACACAGACTGATTTAAAGTGAGGGAGAAATGTTGGGATCGTTTGTAGAAATGGTTGTCATACCACTTAGGGTGGGGCAGCTTTCATACACACACTCACCCCTAAAGTCATTTCGGAACCACTAATTAACCCAGCATGCATGTTTTTAGACAGATTGAGCCCCACACCCGCTACTGCCTACGTAATTTAAAGCAGAATACATGGAAAGACTTGGAAACTTCCGCTAACTTAGAGGAAGTTCGTTTAATCTGTAAACAAATGCTCTAACAAAGACAGAACTGGTTTTATTTTATAAACAACAAAAACAAGGAACCCCAGGAATTTAGATTCTGTTCATACAGAAAAAAAAGCAGATAGAGGTCTGTTATTCTCAAAAACTTTAAAAAGGAGCAGAGGCTTTTATGACCTTCCATAAGGTTACTGTAAAGAAAATCTAAAGCGGTCTTTCAACTGTTGCCCTTGATGCAAGATCTGGAATTTTTAAAAGTGTAGGACTTCTTTTTGACTTTGTTTTCTTTTTCCTCATGTCCCACTGAGCTCAAGTTAATAAGACCACCTGGTCAGAGGCTGTAAGATTTTATGTTATGGTTTTACAGCCCCTAAATCATACCAAAAACAAAACCCTTTCTGTAGTCCAGTCCACCACCTTTAGTTTAAATATGTAATCATTTTAGAGTTTGTAAACAGTGAAAGGTAATTTTCTATAATTATATGACAGAGTGTCTACATCTGCATTTATTTAGTTTAGAAATCCATCAGCAGAATGCATAACAGGATGAAGCAAGTAGTAAAACTGGCCGGCAAAGAATAACCTGATCACACAAATATTATTATTAGTCACACACAAAAGCTTTAAGAAAATCTTAACTGTTCTTATCACTCACTTCATGGAAAATTTGAGCTCCTAGTGTTTAAAGATTCAGCCAGCCCACATCAAGGTCCAACAGAAGGAAAAACTCTTCCTTTTTTTGGGACGTTTGTCTCCTTTCAGCTGCTCCCTTGATCAGGGGTCGCTGCACAGAGTCAATATGTCTTGCTCATGAACTATGCAAAGCTTTTCAGCCAGATAGGGAAATCATTTTAGTCCTGTGGTTTTAAAAGACTGATTTGGCTACTTTGGTAAAATGTTTATATTTTGGATAAAAGGCAAATTTCCCTATGGGCACATTAACAAAGTGATACTGCTGAGAGAAACAAAACAAAAACAATATGTTTTACTTCTCGTCCAAGAAGGATTCATAAAACTGATCGATTGATTGATTGATTGACTTTATTGATCTCACAGTGGAGACATTTACTCATTATATCAGCACAAATAGTCATAAAAAAGAAGAAGAAGGTGCCAAAGGAAGAAAAAGGTGCATGGGGCATTTACAGTATATACAGAGCGTCCACATATCAGATGACAGCTTAAGTCTCTTATTTAGCTGGATTATTATACAGGGTTATTTGTACAGGGTATTTACATAGGTATTTATATAGATGGATATTATATATATATAGCTATTGGACTGGGTATCAAATATAATGATACAGGTTATTGCACAGCTGTTATTGGTATTAATTAGTAATTGCACAGGGTAAAACAGAGTAATTGCACAGGGTGAACATCTAGGCAAGTTTTCACATTTTGCTGTAGCTTCTAGTAGTTTCTTTTGATCCATATTTAATAATTACTATCCTAATTTTTCCTTTTATCCAAATATCTTGCTACCGAATATGAATGATTTTGCTACCATGTAAAGCAAATCATTGAGCACAGGTAGAGATATTCTAACTCTCTCTAACCTTGTTATTGACTCTGGTCTTTTTGTGAAAAAGTAGACCTCCTTTCCTTTGTAAGATGTCTGACTGTGCATCTACAGGATAATGTGCTGGGTCAAAGAAACAATTTAAAGCGAGTATTATGAGCTGTAATTCTAAATTGCAAATAAAACTCTTTGAAACTATTTCCAGTAGTAATGCCCTTAGATTATATCAGTCGTGAATATGTTTCCTGCATTAAAAAGTCAGATTAGTATCAAGATTAACATTTCCAGCTGTTTGAAAAGATGAAGTAGCGTTTAAAATTAGATTGACTAATAAACAAATATTGTGTTGTAAGCATTTTTCTTTTTAACAATCTAATTGAAATTGTTTATTCTTTAAACAAGTTTAGTTAACATAAATGTTTAATTCATCCTCATGTCAGCATATGTTTACAATTTGGACTTTCTAAAATGATATTTAAATCTAAAATGATATTAATATTTACAATTATTAATAAACCTCTTAAGCTGTGGTGGAGAGCAACATTAGATTGCATCACTTACAGTAAACTGGACACTTAATTAAGAGAAATGTAAATACACTTGATCAGGTATTTTTTCAGTTTTTAATTATTTATAATCTTCCCAAAAAAATGTAATATCATTAGATTTTAATATCACCTGCTCCCAGTAAAACATTATCAGAATAAAGGAACAAAATTATGTTCATATAAAACTTTAAGTAGATATAATGCTGTTTAGTAAAGGTGAGATAAAAAAGGAGCAGTAGGAACATTCTTAATATCGTTCCACTCATTGCTTGATTGCAAATGCATTGGTTTTAATCAGCCGTGCTTTTCAATAAAAAGTTAAAGATCTCAATTTGTTCTTAATAAACTTAGTCATGGGTAGTAAGATGAAATCTACTCAGGATTATATAAATACAGAAAGTATTTTTTAATGGATCCAACTAGATGTAAAACTTAATATTGATTACCTTAGTCTTTGTATAGATTTCATATAGCAAATAATCCACATCAGTTGAAAAGATTGAAAAACGTAAAAGAGTACGGGTAAAATATTGCATTATTTAGCACAAACAATTTTATTATTGTATAATTCTTTCTCCAAATAATAAAATAAAAAATGCTTTAAGTCAAATGAAAGGGGAAAATTATAAACTTCAATCTAAAACCTAACTGATGTGGTTAGATATTGTTTTAATCTTAAATCAAAAGCAGCTACATAAAAGTTCAAGCTGCAAACATTGCTTAGAGACCTGAGGGAAAACCTGGCATGGAGCTTCAGCAGAGTGGGGGCGGACAGCTCTGCCTTTATCTCTCATTTATTCTGCTGCACCAGCAGAGGAGACAGTGCGCTCTGCTTATTCTGTTGCCTTCAACCTCATGACACGTTCCAGCAATGTCAAAAAAATCAATTAAACAGCACTTTTCTCGTATCTATATTATGCTGAGTGTCATCTTACTTGATGATTCAACAAAAAAATGTATTCTATTCAAAGAAAATGTTTCTTAGGAACTCTACTATTCCCACAAGCATTGCACACCATGGAGGAACCTGTAAAATATAGGGGTATACATTATAGCTTAACGATTTAATTAGTATAAATAATTCAAACTCAGATAAAAACCTTGAGAATAAACTTTAGAAAATGATTGAATTAAGGGCTCTCTTGAAAGTGATTAATGTAAAGCAGAAATATATTTTTACTAGGTAAAAACACAAATTTTACTAAAAGAGATTATAAAGAAATCGATTCTCAAACTTTTATTTCTGTATATATATTTTTTATTATTTTTTTACCAACAGTCTTTAACAACAACAGATAAAACCCGGTCACCATTCCCATTTGTTTTGACAACTCTGCCCTCTGTTGCTCCAACAGACACATTACAGATAAACTGGGGGATGAGGAGGTAGGGCGTCCTAACAGTGCATGTGTCTATAAGTCATCTAAGCAGACTATTTCACTTAGATTCCCCTGTCTATATATAATTATATCCATACTAATTTATTGTCTTTATTGCACTTTCATTTAACTCGCTTGAAATGACCTAAGTGAAACAATATGAAACAAAGTTAACTTTAATACTGAGAGGATTTGATGAAGGTGAAAAACAAAAACTCTCCAGTGCTTAGAACTGTGGTAGAATGGCTTGACCATTGACAGCTGTTAAATGAGTTCTGTTGTTTCACATGTAAGTACTATTTGTCCTCCACATAAAGTCAAGACAAAACAATCTGAAGCTTGTTATTGCATCAGGAAGTGATCAGAAGAAGTTCAAGAACATGAAGTCTTAAGGAAGGCACAACAAACCAGAAACTGATCACCCAGCCTCTATGTGGCTGTAACAGATTTCTTAAAAAACAAAATAACAAAACAAAACAATGTTACTACAGTAATGGAGCTGCCTTGGCAAACTACAAAAACTGCTGGTCGTATACTGCATGTCTGGAAATTCAGAATTTTGTGTTGAAAACTTGGTTCATTTCTTCACAAGGATCATTTTCTCTGTCCTGCTCCTCGGTCTCATTCTTCTCTTTAAAAACCTGCAAAAAGTCCCACGACTCTGGAACAAGTTGACGATTGTAGATCAGGTCCAGCAGCCATGACACTGCTACAATACTTATTAAAGATGATAACATGGCGACAGTTCTGTAAGGAAAGTACTGTATGATCCGATCATTCTCCTCCCTCCATCCAGGGTACAGGAGCACAGGAGGGATCCTTAGTATGGGTTCACCACTCAGTACCCGGAGCAACAAGCCCACCACGAAGCCACTAATAGCTCCATAGGTGTTTGCACGTTGGAAGTGCAGAACACAGACCAGCTGTGGGAAAATCACACAGTAGAGGAGATCTCCGCTTAGGATCCAGAGAGCTGCTACACTGTCATCCCCAAAGGCCAAACCCATTCCAGCCAGACCTACAACCAGCACACAAATGCGGATCACCCACTGCAGTTCCCTCTCTGAGGCCTGCAGGCAATGAAAAAAACAGAAAAAACAAAAAGCAGATAATAAGAACAGAGTGTCTCTATTTAGGGAAGGATCAAACTATGCTTCCACACACCTTTTTCCTCAAAATTTTCTTGTATATGTTTTGTGTAAACATAGATGCTGATGAAAGCAGCACAGAGTCCATGGAGGACATAACAGCTGCAGCCACAGAACCAATGCCTAACACTGCCACCCAGGTGGGTGTGAGGTGCTGCAGAGCCAGAGGCAGGATCTTCCCTGCATCTCCTCGTTCAAACGGAGGAGGGAGACCGTAATCAGTCTGGTTCCAGTCTTAGAGAAAAGGAGAAGATAATACAATATTTAAAAAAAGTTAAATGGGAAATAAACTTTTCTGATGTTTTGGTGTGAGAGAATACCTGCAGCACCAGCCATGACTCCAATGACAACTGAGGGGATTCCCATGATAAAAACTGTCACAGCAGCAGCGAAACAGGTGATCTGTGCCTGAGCAGAGGAGGATGCGGAGAGGATCCTTTGGTATAAAGCTTGATAGGACAGTCCCCCTAAAGCCTGAAATGCCAGAAAAACAGATTAGTTAGATTACTTTTCAATTATCTCACAGAGCTTTTCTCGAGACAATGTTTTCACACAGAACTATATCTAAAAATATAAAGAACGTCTTTTTAATGTGGCAATTTAAATCTGTGGTACTCTTTACGTACCTTTTTTCTTTTGCTTTTCTTTTTTTTTTTGCATCACAGCCAAGTTTAATAAATTGGCCTTTCTATTTAAAAAAAAGTTGTCCAATTTGATTACTATGAGCATCATTTTTACAAGCAAAAGACACTATTGCTGTAGTTTGATTACATGCTGCCATCTAGTGTAGGCATTATTTATGGCCGTGCCACACATTTAAAACAGCGGAAAAAAGGATTAATTTACATGCTTGAATTCAAAATTTGTCACAGATAAAAACACATACAAACATTTGGGAGTTCTTTATTTCTCACTAATTGTTGTCTGTCATATCTTATATTGTTCAAAACCTTTTGGAAATCCAATGATATTCTCTACATCAAAGTACTTCACATAATCCAAAAAAGTAAACTAAGCCTACTGTATAGTTTGATCTTTGTTGAAATCTGAGTCTGAGGCTTCCTCAGCTATGGAGTTACAGATAAACACAATGGAAACTGGTCGCTCATATACAGACTTGGAAAATGATTTTTCTGTTTGATTATTAGTTTGTTTTTACCAGCAGCAGCATCTCATCGACCCACTTTCCTGCGTCCGCCATTTCTAGGTGTCCAATCCATTCATGTTTATTTGTATGGTTGAGTGGAAGTGTTTGTGAAATAGAAGTAACTGCTGGACTAAGCACGGTAAACGGGACAGAGATCCACTAAAAGGGGAGAAAAAAAAGAGATTGTGTTAGCTTTTAGGTAAAATTTCCAACATTTCCAGAGTAGTGCACCACTCTTTGAGTTCTATATTACTTACACCTATTTCCAAATCCTATTCTTTCTATATTCCATAATTAGTGATCCAGATATATATTTTCATCTTAATCCATTTTGTTTTACTTCATTTCCACAGATTTTGGAGAAGGAAGTGTTCAACTACTAATGAATAAAATAATAATTGTATCCATTAAAAATTTGCTTTTATCCTCAATTTCATTTGGAGGGTGCTTAGTCTAGAGACTAGTCTAGAGTCTAGCTGATTAGTCTAGAGACCAAATCACAAATTGTAGTTGGAGTGGTATTTATAGATACAAAAATTATAATTCTACACATTATACCTTAATATTTGTTTTTTAAAATTATCAAACATGAATGTCTCTAGCACGTGTTTAGACTGGATCTAATAATTCCCTGTAAACAAAGCAAGATTTAAAAATTCCATCCAATATGCCTCAATGTGTTTGCAGTGGGGGGTACTGGAGTCTATCCCAGCAGTCAACAGGCAAGTTACACCCTGAATGGTCTGGTCCACCTGTCCATCGCAGGGCCACACAGAGACACTCACACTGCCTTCTAAGTGGAATTTGGAATGTCCAATCAACCTAACATGTAGGTTTTTGGACTGTTGGAGGAAGCCGGGGAACCCAGAGAAAACACAAGTAAAGATGGGGATCATGCAAACTCCACACAGAAAGGTCCAGGTACTCCCAGGACTTGAACCCAGAACCCTCCTCCTGTGAGGCAATGATGTTAATGTTAATCATCACATCACCATGACGCCCTGGTAAAAAAAAAAAAAAAAAATCACTGTATTACATTTTTATATGTATTACAGGTGTTCCTCAGGGCTCGGTTCTTAGCCAATCTTTTCTTTCATATATTTTGTACAATAGCATTTTTGAATCCTGGGAGAAAATTCAAAGGTGTAAGTTGGCAAAAAGTGTGTTGTATGTGCTAAAAAAATGTTTATCTTTGTTGATACAACCAATACATTTGGAGTCAATTACAGTAAAGTTAACATTTATATAGTGTGTTACCTGTTGCCAAGGTCCCAGTCTTTAAATTGTAAATCTAATTTAGCTCTAAAGAAGAAAGGGCCATCAAGCAATTAATTCTAAGAGGTAAACTCTTTTGATATCAAGTTGGATTCTAATTTAGGATTTACACCATATATTAGGATGCCAAAGTAAGCTGCATGACCATAAATGTACACTTTGAAAATTTTATGTCGCTCAGTTGCACAATTTTTGAAGTGAAAATAAGTTCCTTACTTGCAGAATATTGCTGATTTTCAAGTTAAACTGAAAAAGATACATCATTAATAGCCACCATATGTTATTTTTTTTGATTGCCCATCAGTTTATATTTAATGGCAATATTCTTATCTGTTGGATTCTAAAGGTCTCAGCAGGGAGAGATATTGCATTTGGCTTCAGTTGCAAACCAATATGTTTATGGCCTTTTTAAAAATTACCTGTACAAAATAAATCATTAAAAATAAACATGTGCTTTGATTTCTTACCAGGCTAACAAAAATAAAACAAAGCTGGAAAATATCAGTGTATGCAACTGAGTAAAGGCCTCCAAGAAATGTGTAGATGATGGAGACAGCTGCTGAGATGATGATAGAGATGGTAGATGATATCCCAAGAATTATGCTCATAGTTCCACCTAAATACAAAAACAAGACATTACAAAATATTCAGAGAGATTGTATTGTTTATAATTTCTTAATATTTTCTAAATTAAATATGGATGGTCCTTTTTATAATCATAAATTGTTCACTAAACTAGAACATTAATCGGATTAAAATCGATTTGTCGGATTAAAAGTGCCTTTAAAAGTGCCTTAAAAAAAAAAAACAATGTTTAATCTGATGTAATATCCTGATCTTAAATATTGTGTTTCTATTACCTGTAACTAACATGGCAACTAAAAGAAAATAAGGCTTAAAAAGCTTCAGCCTGTTATTCAATTTTTAAATGTTCTCCACTTCACAATTTACTGGATCCATCTGAGTACAATACAGTTTTAATAAAAACTATCACTATTTTAAGCAACTTATGCAAGAAATATTGATTATTATAACATGAAAATGGAGAAAATTAGTTATTTACCAAGAGCAGCAAGGATGCAGGCAACCCATAATATGTCACTGACCAAAGCAGGAAGCATGATTACTGCCGTAAATATGCTGCCATAACGAATCTGAAACGGGTCCAACATGGTCACATAACACATTGACCTCATTGGTTTTGCAAAAAATAGTCCACCTTAAACAGAAAGCACAAACAATCAATTTCATGTAGTCAACAAAGCCTAACTCATAATATCCATCAGGGAGCAAGTTAGATTTGAAAGGATTCCTATTGTTTTTAAATATCTACAGAAACTAGCTGGTTAACAGTTTGAAAGGGAAACTGCTCACTGCACTAACATATTTTCTGCTTTTTAGGTTGTAAAAGAAGAACACTTTTCACCAGTTCTTCTATATAAAACAATAACCAGTGGCTTGATATACAGACAGAAGGCTGGCTTGCTTTGTCTACTTACCCAACAAAAAATTCATTGCAAATGAAGGGGGGCCCACAGCCCAGACAAGGCCTTGGCTGGGAGAATAAACAACCTCAGCAGTTCCCATAATATAAGCTCCACCAACCCATGTTGCTTAAAGCAAAACACAGAAAAGAATAGAATTAAGAAAGTACAGGCAACAATTATTATTTTCAAATAAAAAATGAAAGACTACCTGTCATGGTAAACATCCCAACCAGAACGCTGATGTTGCGGCCACCAACAATGGCAATCTCGCTCTTTGGGCCTGTGCATTTCTTCTCAACATGCCTGGCTTTACGCGATCCCCATACTCCAATTGCCAGGATAAGAATATAAAAAATGATCACAGACACCAGTCCAGGGACATCCACTGCCATGATCCTTTTAGTTAAAAGAAAAATATGGATTATTTGATCTGACATTGAAGTAACTCCAGTCATTTCTAGTGGTTGTATAACAGTGGGTGGCCTCTAAAAGAGAGGTTCACCTGATGCATGTTAATCCAAACCCTTCAAAACAGTATGGGCAGATATGAGAAAGTTCTTGCATCTCACAGAATGCATTTGAAAAATAAGCTCTGATTTGAATTTTGATTGTTTTTCCAAACTTTTTTCTATTACAGTCAAATTGAAGTTGGATAAGTTATCTCCAAATGCATGATCCCTAATAATTCATGGTAAATGGTAAATGGTAAATGGCATGTACTTATATAGCGCCTTTATTCAAGTTAGGAGACTTGACCAATCCCTAATAATTCATGACAAACAACTTATATCTCTTATTGATATTATCATCAAGTCTGTAAACAATACAAAAGTAATGAAGGGTAAACAATAAAGTAATTCTAATTTCAACATTTTGGAAAATTACTGCCTAGTGAAGACAATGTCCTCATCGGATAACAGCTGTTTTAGCAAAACTACTGTTATCCACATGCTCCCACAGGGCATTGAATGTTTCCCTTTGCCCACAGCAAATGTTGACATGTTGAACAAACGCTTATGAACCCTTGAAGACCCTGCAGATAGTCCAGTGTTCAGCTGTCAGGACGAAAACTTCACAGCTCCTCCTGAATCTGAGGTTCAACAATCAGCCAGAATCCCTTCCCCATCCTCAGGGCATTGGCTTTCCTCGGAGACTGAGAAGTGTGATCTCCCTACAGTTAAACAAAGTAGTAGCCTGGCCAGCCAGACTGAATTACATTGGGCATAAGAAATCACAGAGTGGGAGGTTTGCCCATAATGCAAAAGCGCTTTTCTGAAACCATAACAGTCAAGATTGCAGATGCAACAGAGCAATATTTAAATTATATCCTTTATTATGTCCTGAAAGAGCCATTTATATTTTCAAAATTTAAACAACTAGCTACTCTAAGAGATAAAAAAAAAAAAAAAAAAATCAAACACATCTGTAGTTACCTTTTTGGTTCTAAAACGTTTCTGTTGACTCTGTTAGTCCAGCCTTTGAAATCAGTCTATATCCGTTTCTTTCCAGAGTGATGTATCTTGTATACAGCGAAAGTTAGTCTGTCAGGCCAAGCTAAAAAAAACACCCTCTTGAAGGGGAACCACAACCCCCAGTCTGCCAGTCATGGGGCGCTAACCCAACTGCCATGCAGTAGGAAAAATGACAGTCCAGCAACATCTAAAGACCCAAGATACTCAGGACGGATCTCACAATGTAGCAAAAAAAAAAAAAGTATAGACTGAAAAACAATCCAAACGATTTATTTTGCACAAAACCACCCCTGACAGTAGTAAAGCACTTGGACCACTGTCTGGTGAATGATTCTGAGTTGATTTGGCCAAAAGCTTTCAATCGTTATCCTAAAAGACCCAGGGGTGGACACTGGGTCAATGGTTTAAGGAGCAGTTTTAAGACAGATTAATTAAAACAGCACTGGGTTGTTCATTAATCACCTTCTCTGTCTTCATCTACAGCAATGAACTGATACTCTGGCTGAAGACTCCATAAGCTAACATACTGTAGTATGTTTTGCATATGGATCATCATGTCTTGAACACTGTGTCCAAGTAATATTCACCCAGCCTCAAGCACAATGGTAGACTTTATACACAGTAGACTTTGGACCAAATGAGTGGTATATCTGGTGAGATGTGATTCCATTGTGAATTTAAGTACAACTTTCTGACGACTGAGAAGCGGGGATCCAGTATTAAAATCAGGATAGAGAGTGGGATTACTCAAAAGGGTCTTAAAACAGATCTGCAGTGACTAGGGCATGTAAGACAGCAATTTCTGCAGGAGAGACACACAGGTTAGTGACCCGATTATGAAGATGCGAGTCACTAACATGGTTTAACAGTTCAGTCCGAGCCCAGAGAACGACATAGACAACAGCCAATCGGATGACAAGTAAAAGCCTCCCCTTTTGTCATTACACTGTCACAAGTACAGAGCAACAACATTAACTCTCTGCATTTAATCCATCCCCTTGGGGAGCAGTGTGGGGTTAAGGGTCTTTGCTCAGGGAGTCAGAGTGGCATACTGAGGGAGTGGGGCTTGAACTCATAACCTCTGGATTCTAAACGCAATTGCCTAAGCACTAGGTTGCCACTCCCCACAAGAAAGAAGGTTGCTGGATTCAGAGTACAAAGTATTACACCATAGAACCCCTTAAGCCACAGAGCCCCAGATGCTGAATCCTTCAAGACTGCAGAATAAGCATTAGTCCAAAAACAGGTCAGGCAAACAGATCAGAACATGAACAGGCTGGCTCAGTGGTTGAGATTCTTTACAAAAAAANAAATCAGGATAGAGAGTGGGATTACTCAAAAGGGTCTTAAAACAGATCTGCAGTTTTAGAGTAGCAGGGACTAGGGCGTGTAAGACAGCAATTTCCTGAGGAGAGACACACGGGTTAGTGACCACGATTATGAACACGCGAGTCACTAACATGGTTTAACAGTTCAGTCCGAGCCCAGAGAACGACAAAGACAACAGACAATCGGATGACAAGTAAAAGCCTCCTCTTTTGTCATTACACTGTCACAAGTACAGAGCAGCAACATTAACTCTCTGCATTTAATCCATCCCCTTGGGGAGCAGTGTGGGGTTAAGGGTCTTTGTTCAGGGAGTCAGAATGGCAGACTGAGGGAGTGGGGTTTGAACTCATAACCTCTGGATTCCAAACGCAATTGCCTAACCACTAGGTTGCCACTCCCCAACAGGCAAACAGATCAGAACATGAACAGGCTGACTCAGTGGTTGAGATTCCACCATATCACATAATTCAGGTGTGCCTCCAAAACCTATGGAGATTTTTTATTCCACATCTGTAACAGAAGGCATTTTAAATTTGTATTTCATTCCACGTGGGCTTGGGTAATTGCCACCGAAAAATGTATCAAAATCCGGATGCTTACTCAGTAGGAAGGAAGCCAAATTGCAACTGAAAGCACATTAAACAAATGTGATCCTCAGCTCATACAGTGTGGAAGGTGAGAAAAAAAAATAAAAATAAAATATATATATATATATATATAAATCTATCTGATCTGGGAGGAGATGCCCCAGGACGCCATCTGTCGTCTCATAAGGAATGGTAAATGGCCTGTACTTATATAGCACCTTTTTTCAAGTCAGGAGACTTGACCAAAGCTGTTTACACTACATTCATTCACTCACACACACTCACAGGTTGATGGTGGCAAGCTACATTGTAGCCACAGCTGCCCTGGGGCTCACTGACAGAAGCAGGGCTGCCGTACACTGGCGCCACCGGGCCCTCTGACCACCATCAATAGACAATGCAGATGAAGTGTCTTGCCCAAGGACACAAAAACACTGAAAGTCGGAACCAGGGCTTGAACCATCAATCCTTCGATTTCAGGGCGAAATCCTACATCCAACACCACTATTGCCCCGACATGCCCAGACGTTGAAAGAGTGAGAATATAAGACAAAAAATGTCCCCAAGAGAGAATTATGAATACAGAAATGTATTGTCATAACATAGGATAGATGGACCCAGTATTCAAGGCGAGACAGCCAGCAGGAAGGTTAAAAATGTTTATTAAAACAAAAACAGACAGAACAGAAACGCGCCACTGTGGAACTGCGACCGCAGCGACTGCAGGTGCGGGGCGCAACCCATCACTGATTCTGCAGAGGGAAACACAGTTAAGTGACCAAAATCATCTGAACAGAAGATGATATTTAGAGTGAGTCACTTACCTGGTTCAACTGTTCAGTCCACTCACGAACGGACAGATCCGGGTTCCAGGAATCCAAACAGAGCACAAAGGCAGGTTNAGGGGGTTGTTAATCAGTTTCAGCTGCTTTGGTGTTAATGAAATTAACAACAGGTGCACTAGAGGGGCAACAACGAGACGACCATCAAAACAGGAATGATTTACAAGTGGAGGCCACTTACATTTTTTCCCCTCCTCATCTTTTTGGACTCTTTTTCATCAGTTTTGCAGTTGGCTAGGGTCACTGTCACTACTATTAGCATGAGGTGCTACCTGGACCCCAGAGGTTGCACAGGCAGTCCAACTCCTCCAGGATGGCACATCAATATGTGCCATTGCCAGAAGGTTTGCTGTGTCTCCCAGCACAATCTCAAGAACACAGAGGAGATTGCAGGAGATGGGCAGTTTCTCCTTTGTGCAAGGAGGAGCAGGAGGAGCACTGCCAGAGCCCTACAAAATGACCTCCAGCAGGCCACTGGTGTGAATGTGTCTGACCACACAATCAGAAACAGACTACATGAGGGTGGCCTAGTGGGCCTCGTGCTCACTGCCCAGCACAGTGGAGCTCTGTGCTTTTCACAGTTGAGAACAGGTTAACCCTGAGCACATGTGACAGACATGAAAGGGTCTGGAGAAGCCGTGGAGAACTTTATGCTGCCTTTAACATCGTTCAGCATGACTGGTTTGGTGGTGGGTAAGCAATGGTTTGGGGAGGCATATCCATGGAGGCACACAGACCTATACAGGCTAGACAACGGCACCCTGACTGCCATTAGGTATTGGGATGAAATCCTTGCACCCATTGTCAGACCCTATGCTGGTGCAGTGGGTCCTGGGTTCCGCCTGGTGCACAACAATGTCCTCATGTGGCGCTAATATGCTGGCAGTTCCTGGAGGATGAAGGAATTTATAGCATTGATTGCTGACCCCCACGCTCACCTGACCTAAATCTAATAGAAAACCTCTGGGACATTAGGTTTTGATCCATCCAACACCGCCAGGTTGCACCTCAGACTGTCCAGGAGCTCAGTGATGCCCTGGTCCAGATCTGGGAGGACATGCCCCAGGACGCTATCTGTCGTCTCATTAGTAATGGTAAATGGCCTGTACTTATATAGCACCTTTTTTCAAGTCAGGAGACTTGACCAAAGCGCTTTACATTACATT